GCAAACTTATTGCCAATTTGGTTTGTAATGTCAAAAATATTATAGGTCTATGTGAACCAGAAAATATATTATTAAATCATTTTATTTTATTATTTAAAAAATATGTATATACCTGTAGGGTTCAAAAGGTTCATTCAACAAAATATGCATATAAAAGTTGGATCAGGGAAAATAGAAATATTGAACTACAAATCGCAATAAACAAAAACAAAGAGCTTATCCATTATCAGAAATGGGAACCATTAACTAATTGGTTAGATAATGGGCAAATTTAGATGTTATACTAGATCATTTTTTTTTTTTTTTTTTTTCATTTTTTTTCTTTGTTTTATTTTTTCTTCCTTTTTCCTTTATGTGTTGTAATTTTTTGTGTTGTATGTCCATTATTGAAACGAAATAAAAATATTGTTTAAATAAAAAAAAAAAAAAAAAAAAAAAAATATCAAATTTGAAAACTTATAAAGTTGACGACGATGGACAATCAGTAATATGAACAGCTCCGCTGTGTCGACTTACTTTGTTGACAGCGGAGCTAAAAAGATGATTTTTAAGAAGAAGTCAAAAATGTAAAGTTGACGCTGGCAGCTGATGGACAGTAATATGAACAGCTATGCTCCGTTTACTAAGCTGACAGCACAGCTAAAACCAAATTGCCTGCTAACATGGTTTTTCCCATTCATTTCAGTAATCCATAGAGGCTTTTGCAGACAAGTGTTTAGTACCCTAGAAAAATGTTCACTGCTAAAACATTTGGCGATTTTGCCCCTCAATTATCCTCGGGGGCGGACATTCCACGTTGCTAAGACGCGCACCACTGTACATGTATTTCTATGGGCTCTGTGGGCGCTGCTGTGGAACGCCGGTCCAGCCGGTGAAAATTTGAGAAAACAACATAAACTTTGAAGTAATCCTGAACAACCAAATTTATATATGTTACACACATAGGGCTATTTTGTTACACTGTTCAGGGGAGTCTCAACAACCATCCCAAAGTACCGTTTTCTGTGAGTTTTTGGCCTTTGTTTTCACCGCGAGGGTTGCCAGGCGGAGAAAATGCCCGGAAGTCCGCCCCGAGGATTATGACAAATGCTACTAACCTGTCCACCCATGTCTACAAGTTCTGGTAACGTGAGATTTTTGCCATTGCCGTCCCTTAAAAAGTCCAGTAAACTACCATTCACCATCAGTTCAGTCACAATGTAAATAGGTTCCTGGAATGAATATTTTTAATGCAAGTTGAACTAAAGCTACTGAAGAACACATGCACAGGCAACTGCAGCAGCATCAAACAGAAAATAAAGGTTTTCCATACAACGTCTCTTAGTGGAACATGTTGAATTACGTGATATAGACATGCACTTAATCTCTAACCATTAATAGAAAAAAAATTCCCAGTTGTTTATGCAACCTGAATTTACAAACATATCCATTTTCATTTGAAAATCAAAAAAAAAAATATTGTTGACTTAGAGTCACACAAACAAATATTTGTCAATTATGAACTTGAAGCTACTTTAAAACCATTTTTTTAAAAAACAGGATGTAACAAATTTATTCTTCTGCTCAGAAAAATTGTTTTAAAATTAAACCATCAAACAATGTAATTATTATCGTGGATTTTGTACGCGAGTGTCATAATTTGTCTTGGGATATTTTAAGGTAACCTTGCATATCATATTATGTTTGAAATCATATTCAAGTCCCATGTAACATTAACATCAAAGACAAGTCATTGTCAATGACACGTCCCCGTTCCGTTCATATTTGAGTGACATATACATTCAAAGCAGCAACAATATGAATGTTGAACTGCATTCAGTAAAACAAAATAGCCACCAGTCAGCCATTTTCAACACAATCCAAAAAAAAATTTAAACTAAATTTGCCCATGCATGACATAGATTCAGTTCCGGTATGGTGAAAATGTGCAATTTTTGTGAATTTTTGACCTTAAAAGGACTGGCCCAAATGCACAGGCATATGTATGATATAATGTATGATGTGTATGTGAAGTTTGAACTGATCTGTCCAGGCATGTCCGAGATATGGATCGAAAACTAAATTCTTTAAAAAAAATTGCCGCCAGTTGGCCATTTTAAACTTGATCCGAAGAAAAATTGGTATGCATCAAGCTTATATTTAATATATGCACTAAATCTGAACAAATTCCATCCATGCATGACTGAGATCTGGTTCCAGAATTGTGAAAATACGTGATTTTGATGCATTTTCGGCCTTAAAATGGCCATCATTCAGCTATTGTTAAGCGGATCATGAAACAAATGCACATATCTATTTGTGACATGATGTACCAGGTGTGTGTGAAGTTTGAACTTGATCAATCCAGACATGTCTCAGATACGAATCCAGAACTGAATTCTTTAAAACAAAATGGCCACCAGTCGGCCATTTCAAGTCCGATCTAAAAAAAAAATGACGTGCATCAAGGTCCTATTATGTTTAATGTATGTACCAAATTTGAACGAAATCCGTCCATGCATAACTGAGATCCGGGTCCGGAATGGTGAAAATGTGCGATTTTGATGCATTTTCGGCCTTAAAATGGCCGCTATTCGACTATCGTTAATCGGATCATGAAAAAAATACATGTGCATATGTCCCATATAATGTGTGATGTATGAGTGAAGTTTGAACTTAATCGGTCCATGCATGTTCGAGATACAGGTGATCACGGACGCACGGATGCACGAACGCACGGACACACACAGGGCAAAACACAAGTCCCCGTTTTCGGACTACGTCCGAACGGGGACTAAAAATATCACGGTTGCCTTTGGTTGAAGCAAAGTTTTATAAACATCTGAAACTTATTCTCAACATCCACCTACCTTTTCTGTACACACTGCATACAACTGAACAAGATTTTCGTGCCTCAACTTTTTCATTAGATTAGCTTCTTGTAAAAATGCTTGTGGTGACATTGTTCCAGTCTTCAAAGTTTTTATAGCTACTTTTGTTACACCATTCCATGAACCTACAAAATAAGCAAATCAATTTCCACAGTCTAAGTCTGGGATTACAAACTGAAAGTACATGTACAAGTGATTTATCAGGGTTCCTGTACAAGTTTTGAATATCATAAACAAGCAGCCTATCGGCTGAGATAGCTCCGCTGTTAGCAATGCACATTTCAATTAAAGAACTGAAGACATCATTAGAAAATGAACAATATGAATAGTATCAAAGCAATCGGACTTACAGTTTTTAGCAAGAAGTCGAAAATATCACTTTTTACCAAAAATGACAAAAATATTCACCAAAATTAGAGAACTGAATATATCATCACAAAATGAACAAATCTGAGAAAGGTCTACATGTAGTATCTATATATGTAATATCAAAGCAATTGAACTATTGGTTTTTAACAAGAAGTCGAAAATATCACTTTTTACCAAAAATTACAAAAATATTCACCAAAATTAGAGAATTGAAGATATCATCACGAAATGAACAAATCTGAGAGAGGTCCACATGTAGTACCTATATATGTAATATCAAAGCAATCAGACTTGCGGTTTTTAACAAGAAGTCGAAAATATCACTTTTTACCAAAAATGACAAAAATATTCACCAAAAATAGAGAATTGAAGA